CTTATGGATTTTTATATTAATAAAATACGTGGGCCGATAATATTACTATATGCTTAGTATTTCCATGCCAGCGATGCTCGTAACCTGCTCGATTTAAAAACAGCTATTTGAAACAAAGACTCATGGAATCACAAAGGAAACTGTTAAGTACGTATTTCACACCTTTCCTACGACCGCGGTTGCAACCGGTATCTGTGGCCACCGCGGTAGAGACCCCTAATTATAAGCAGTCCGTGGCTCTCCCCAGTGTACCGCGGAGAGCCGCCCGTTTGATTTCCTACTCTTCCCTTAATAAACTTGTCTTTGCCTTTTACTCGTTTACTGCGTGGAGTGTCTTTACGAATGGTTTCAATCTAATCTCAATGACTTCATCAGCATCAAATTGATATGTCAGATCACAAAATTTTGGACAGGGACTGTGTCATTAACAATGACTTGAATTTTTATGTATTAACCATTTGTCAGACATACTGTAGACTACTTTATTTTCACTTAGGATTTATTTTCGCTGTTTTCGCTGGAGGGATAATTCCGTGAAAATAAAATCCAGCGAATATACTTTTTTTCCCTATATTTCACATTAAACTGATCAAAAAATCAGTGAAAATAAATTCCATAAAAAACGCCCAAAAAGCCTTTTCAGCGAAAATTAATTCCAGCGAAAATAAACTATTTCACAGTATCTTGAATTTTTTAAAAAGGAATCATATAATTTTTGTGTTCTGAAATGTTACTTCAGCCAAATAAACTTAAACAGTGACTACAACATTGACATTGACTTGTTATTTTTGACAACAGGCTCGTACATTACTTGGTGGCAGGTCAGAACGCAATGAGTATCTATTACTACATGCATTCCATGATAAGAATTTTATTGTCCCTGACAAAGAATTCAGGAAGAAACAGATTGCTGTTGATGTGAGTAAACAGTCTTGTTTTATGTTTTTGTAGATTCATGATATATCTAAGCATTGACAAAGCATTAGGCGCAATCACATAATATTCACATTCTCCTTATTGTACACATCAGTTGAAAATGTTTTTGTCAAAATTTCGGAAAAATTAAAAATTTTATTTTTCAGAATAAAATAAAAGCATAATAAAGCATAAGCATAAAAAGTTTTTATGACAATTTTATATTGAAATAAAATCATTCCTGTGCATCAATTGCAAAACTTGAAATTGACCAGTAATGTTTCTCTTTTTTAGCTCCGCTGTCGACTTTGTCGAGTGGAGCTTATCATATGAGTGATTGTCCGGCGTCGTCGGTGTCAATGTTTTACTTTTTCGACTTCTTCTTGAAAACTACAAGCCTGAATGCTTTGATACTTGGTGTATATGTACCTTGGGTAGACCTCTCTTAGGTTTGTTCATTTCATGTTGATATCTTCAATTCTCTAATTTTGGTGAATATTTTTGTAATTTTTGGTGAAAAGTGATATTTTCGACTTCTTGTTAAAAACCGCAAGTGCAATTGCTTTGATATTACATATATAGGTACTACATGTGGACTTCTCTCAGATTTGTTCATTTTGTAATGATATCTTTAATTCTCTAATTTTGGTGAATATTTTTGCCATTTTTGGTAAAAAGTGATATTTACGACTTCTTGTTAAAAACCAATAGTTCAATTGCTTTGATATTACATATATAGATACTACATGTAGACCTTTCTCAGATTTGTTCATTTTGTGATAATATCTTCAATTCTCTAATTTTGATGAATATTTTTGTAATTTTTGGTAAAAAGTGATATTATCAACTTCTTGTTAAAAACCAAAAATTCAATTGCTCTGCTATTACATATATAGATACTACATGTAGACCTTTCTCAGATTTGTTCATTTCGTGATGATATCTTCATTCTTCTAATTTTGGTGAATATTTTTGTCATTTTTGGTAGTAAGTGATATTTTCGACTTCTTGTTAAAAACTGTAAGTCCGATTGCTTTGATACTATACATATTGTTCATTTTCTAATGATGTCTTCAGTTCTTTAATTGAAATGTGCATTGCTAACAGCGGAGCTATCTCAGCCGATAGGCTGCTTGTTTGCTCTTGACCTTACCGTATTACCCCGGGCACGCGCCCAGGGGCCTGAACATACAAAATCGCGAAAAATTGTGGGTGGGTGCTTACCCGAGGACCACCCCAAAAAAGATTTTAAAAAGTTGTTTTTGTTTTGTATGATAAGGTCAAATAAAGGAATGCTTTCGTACACTTTGTACACGCACTTATTCCTTGATTTATGCAAGGTTTCAATAAACGTGAGCGCTCGGTCAAGATCTGTGGGAACACTAAGACACAGGGTCGAATTTCAAGAATAAAACTTGTTTTATGTCAGCGAATAAAGTTGTATTACTCACTGAAATTGGCTACAAAGCATGGTAAGTATTGTAATCAATGCACAAGTAACCGTGATCAGTGCAAGTCGAAATGGTCGGGAAAAACTACTGCTTGTAATCCAAGAAAGCGATGACCTCATTAGCATAATTTTGTTCACGCACATATTGATACATCGCATCGTAATTACTGAAGAATAGCAGACAGGGTTATGAAACAAATAAACCTTTTATTACTGATGTGAAATGTTTACAAACTATTGTGAATACATAAACATATCCAAATGGCGATACATAAAAAACAGACTGAAAACAAACTCTGGTCGATCTCATTAACATGATTTATTCACGCACCCACACACATGACAAAATTATGATGCAACAAGTTCCCATCGTTGGCATGCCTCATTATGGTTATCGTAATGGACTTGAGGTCGGCAAAATGTTTTTTCTTCAACGACAGAAAAATAATCCACATGACCGTAACGCTGGGTGTATATGATAAAGGGAAGTTGTGCAACCAAATTTGCTCGCAGTTTTTCGTCGATAAAAAAATAACTAAGGCAAAAACTCACGGTTTTTCAGCATTTTTGTAATAAAGAAATTATTCTCTATCAATAATCCGCCCAAAACAGGAACATTTCTACTAATTCTTGTGTTTTTTCGACGTTTTCGAAAGTAGAACATTCCGGAAGGGGTGAAACGAAAGAGCATCGCCAGGCGATGGACGTGGGGTTTTTGGCAACGACCGCAAAGTATTCGTGTCCAGCCATCGGTCGGCCACGTAGACGTAAAAATATGTGTTCTGTTTTTACAAAATGTATTTCAACACAAGTACAACATGGTTGTCTGGGTTTTCTTTCCCGATTGTTGAGTCTTTGCAATGTGTTTACGGTTTGTATAATTGTTTTCCTCAAGGCGAAGACAAGCTGAAGGACCATGAAGCTAAATGGCAGTTCCATGCATGGGCTGAGTGAAAGAAAATATTTAATCTAAGCCTAAAATAAAACCTATTATTACACCTCTTTGTGTATTTGTTAATTTTACATGTTTGTCATGACAGTATATCTAAAAAAATCTTCTATTTTGTTGATAATTTCCATTGTTTGGAATGTCTGTTGACAGTGCCCCAATAATTTGTTCTGGAAATCGATTCCCGTTGGTTTCTCCATACTGAGTTTAGGACGGGCGTTGGTCCCGACGTCCGGCATCCATCACAATCACCGAGACAAAACATTGGCCGTAATTCATGGGGATCATGTACCGTAATTTATGGGCTGAAAACCCAAATAATTAAACAAGTATTATTATTAAATATATTTCATTTTACATCGCAAAACTACAACAGAGCTTGGTTGTTTGCGGTGAACCAGTCGCCTTGAAGTCGATACAACTTCAACTAGCCATTTATTACCTTGAAATCAAAAAAATTAAAATTCCAAGAGCATTGGGGAAAATATTAATAACCATTTTTAGCAATCGCTAGTTTTATTTTATCCGAATACATGGAATGCACGAGATTTTCGACATTTATTGGCAACTTCTGCTCTGAAAATGTGGGTGTGATTCTCTCGCAAAATCCTGTTGATAATACGGACAAATATGGTTATGTGACCCAGGTCGTGCTCCGATCAGGTGACTTTCAGCAAATCAATGATGTTGTAACAAAGCATATTTGACGCTAATTGAAGGGTCGTCGTACCGTCCAATCTCCGGCTTCGATTCACATAGTTTTTTTTTGTTCTGTGGCAGGCTTCAAAGTTATTCACTGAAAAACATCGGTATATTTTGACTAACGGAGGGGATTTGACCTCAGTTCAGAAAGAAGAAAAACTAAGCTGAGTCCACGGCGAATCAGTTTTCTTTGTTAGTTGTGAAATAAGGTAACCCAGAGTAGGGTCGACGATTTTCAGCCCTGAAGGACTTCCGCGTGAATCCTGATTCTCGAATTGTTCATTGTCTGGCCACCAAATATTTATGGCTATAACTAAATTTGACACGTTTTTTTTCTAAATTATTCATTTATGTCAAGCTCTGTTCTATTTTTTCAGAGCATGTGGCCGTTTTAGTCAAAATATTTTTTTGTGGGAACACTTTTTACGGTACGTATAGATCGAGCTCATTCACTGATCATGACTTAATTTTGAAAATTGAATGTCAAATTATACCAGACCGCCTGTGGACAGACGTGGTTTTGGTATCGGTATTTTTGGAATTAATCATTAACATTTTCCTCGTTTCTCTGCTCTGTCGAAAGAAGTTACCTATGCCCTTTTCACGTAACTGTCTTATTAAAATAAAATATTACATTTACTGATTTAGAACAAGCACCCAAAACACGTAACAAGAGGTCCCAGTTAAGTTGCTTTGATGATTTGTTGTCATGCAACTATTAGATTTAAAAACCACCATTTCGACTACTCATGTGTGATCAGTGTTTTGGCGAGCAGTCAATGTTTTCAATGAGCGAGCGAGCGAAAAAAAGAGCGATTAAAATGCTGTCGGTTTCCGGTCGGACAAGGCCGCGCAGTTATATTGATACAAGAGGGTTGTATCAAATTGAATGTAATTAACACCAAGCTTTTTAAAAGTTTACAGTTTGAGTATCTCGGTGTCTTAACTATTTTCAAAAAATTTGATTATATAATTTAATATTAAGGGTAATTGAGTGCACAGGAAACCTTTCTAATTAACTATCAGGTGATTTGTATAGAACAGAGCAAAAAATGTATACAAAGTGTACCATTTACACACTAACCTGTGCCTCTAATGAGTTTGTAAATGTGTGCATACTTTAATACACTATAGATTGCATGTTGATGTCTGTGTGTCTTTTCATTAGCATGATGACAATGAAGAAGGCGTTAAAACAAGTAAGAAAGGGCGTAGAAAACCTGCATATGCTGGTGGTTTGGTATTAGATCCAAAGAAAGGTAGGTTTATCTGGACAGCTAGGACAGTCCTACTTATATATCACACTCAACTTTGTTCCACTGGAATTGTTGCATTTCACCTTTTCATAAGCTAACTTTAGGGCTATTTAATTACTATTTATTATTCATCAGTCAGTCACATCCCAGTGTACATTTGTCAGACAGCTCCCGGTGTGCATCAGTCAGACAGCTCCCAGTGTGCATCAGTCAGACATCTCCCAGTGTGCATCAGTCAGACATCTCCCAATGTGCATCAGTCAGACATCTCCCAGTGTGCATCAGTCGGACATCTCCCAGTGTGCATCAGTCAGACATCTCCCAGTGTGCATCAGTCAGACATCTCCCAGTGTGCATCAGTCGGACATCTCCCAGTGTGCATCAGTCAGACATCTCCCAGTGTGCATCAGTCGGACATCTCCCAGTGTGCATCAGTCGGACATCTCCCAGTGTGCATCAGTC